TGGAGGCAGCCAAGACGTGAGGGAGAAGCAGCTTCCAGAGCTTGGAGAGAGAGAGTCTGCCCTTACCAGCCCTTCTTTGGGAAAAGGCCATGTAAACTCCCTCTATTCCTGCAGACCAAGGAGAAGGTGAGACTTGGACCATGAGAAGACAGAACATGGCCTATCCTTTAGAGCCGTGGTCGGCAAACTGCGGCTTGCAAGCCACATGCGGCTCTTTGGCCCCTTGAGTGTGGCTCTTCCTAAGCCTTAGGAGTACCCTAATTAAGTTAATAACAATGTACCTACCTATATAGTTTAAGTTTAAAAAATTTGGCTCTCAAAAGAAATTTCAATCGTTGTACTGTTGATATTTGGCTCTGTTGACTAATGAGTTTGCCGACCACTGCTTTAAGAGAGTTCCTCAGTTCCTAGAAACTCTTCATGGAGGATGAGGCTCTAACCTGGCCCTCAGATTCTTGGAGGAAGAGGAGCAAAAGCTTAGAAAGTCGGGTTGTGGGACTAATGTTAGCTACTGTTTTTAGAGCTATGTGTTTTCCAGCTTAAGAATTATGTTTTACCCAATATAGACAGTGTAGCCTATGGTAAAATCCTTTATAAATTTATTTTAATATCTTTCATTGATAATTAAAATTTAAATGGAATTCATGTATTGGCAAAAGTAGGTTTTAAAAGATAAGACTGGGGAATATTTCTCTTTGAATACAATTTAACCTTAAGTATAAGAAAAAAAAAATCCCAGTCTTAAAAAAAAAGTACCTATGAACTAAATACTATTTTTCACATTCATGTACTTGAGTTCAATCTAATACAGTCCATAGACCTGAAGTTTGTTTAGTGTAACAAGAGATTATCCAAGCTCATTATTCAAGGACAGTGTTTCTGCCACCCCTGTATTGGAAAGTCTGGGCATTTGATTGCTCTGGAGCCAATTATAGCCTCCTCTTTACTTAAGTGATCTTCAGTCTCATCAAGAAGATCATCAAACTGACTTTTAGAAAGTGTGACAATCTGAAGTAGTACTTTCAATAGATTTTCTACCTTGAAAGTGCTTCCTTGTGATACAAGGACAATGATTAAGAAATCAAACTTCAACCCGGCCAGTGTGGCTCAGTGGTTGAGTGTCGAGCTATGAACCAGGAAGTCACAGTTCCATTCCTGGTCAGGGCACATGCCTGGGTTGCGGGCTTGATCCCCAGTGGAGGGCATGCAGGAGGCAGCCAATCAATGATTCTATCTCATCACTGATGTTTCTATTTCTCCTTCTCCCATCCTTTCTAAAAGCAATAAAAATGTATTTTAAAAAAGAAGTAAAACTTCAGAAAAGACTCCACACAAAAGCAACTTAGAATATAAGTAGTTCTCTCTTAACTACAATCCTCACTGATCAAAAAGATAAGCAAGATTTCCCAAGTATCTTCCTTTGTGGTGTACACTCTAATTGGAAAGATAGCCAAGCATATTGGGATCAGAAGCAAGAGAATTTATATTTATTGATCACTTGGTACATTTTAGGCTACAGTAGTACAACTGTGTGATTTAATCTTGCAGCATTCTGATGATATGATTATAAAAAAATCTGAATTTATTGGTGAGGAAGTTGACATCAAAGAGATCACAAAGCAAAGCTGGGGTCTCAATCCAAGTCCACATAACTTAAAGACTTTTTCTCTGAAAAAAAATCCTATACATGGGATTTCATGATTCTGTAGAATGTACTAACTCATCTCAGCATCCCCTCAAAATAGGATGTTCTACATCATATGAGGTATTCAATATAATTGAATCCTGCTGCCAATGCTGGTTGGTTGGGCACTTAAATCTGATTTCAAGTGGGAAACTAGAAATTATATTGGTGGAAGTCTTGAGTTAGTATTACTCTGAGTGAGAACCCTAAGGGACTGACTGAAAATAAATGCAGTAAATTTTATTTACTTTTATTTCTATCTTAGCACTGGACAGTTGAGGTTGCTGGATAAGTTTCAAACTATTAATTGCTGAGGAATTTTTTAAAAAAAGAAGAAAGTGGTTTCTATGAATGGAATTAGTTATATGATTCATAGAGACTGGTCAACAGGAGTGAAGATGAGAGTGTTTCAAATCCCTTCCTGATCCAATGAGTATTCTGTTTATAAAATATCTGAAATTGCAGATGTGCAGGTTGAGGGACAGGCAAACAAAAACACTGAAACAAAATGGGTAAGGGCATGGACAATTAAACAGTGATCCTTGATTCTTCATGTATTTCCACTGCTTATGATTTTATTCTGTCATCTTCTAAGGTTTACAAATACCATCTGTGCTCATAAAACTATGCAGCTCTGTTAAAGCCAGGCACAGTGCTTGGCTCAGTGGCCTTCTAACGCAAAATTCTAGACACTGACAACAGTGGTATTTCCTCTTGCTCATTCTAAATTTACCTGTTGTTAATTTCATTGTGCCTCTCCTCCCCATTGTCAGGCAAAAAGAGGATACTCAGACCTCAGGAAAATACTTTATACCATTTAAATCACTACATCCTAAATTTTTCTCTTTTCTTTTTGAGGGTCCCCTGAAGTTTTATACTCTCTTTTAGTAAGTACTCTTCTTTGGTACCAATTGACTATGGGCTTACTACCAGCTGTATTACAATCGACACACTACAATTTCAGGAAATACAGCAAATTTAATGTGAAGACCATGAGACTAGCTACCATCATTAGCTCTTCAAGAAAGATAAACACTGATATGTGTTTATCTTGATGTGTCCACAGTATCAAATTCAACGTCTCCCTCCTGGTAGGGTAAGGGGGGAGATGAAATAGAATACATATCTACAGGTGTCAGACTCTATAAATATTCCATTGCACCTCTCTAGCATTACTCGATATCAATATCCCTATTTCTGTCTTTGGGGAAGCTGAGTGAGTTGCCTACAATCATGAGCTAGTAAACAGCAGGGCTGAGATTTGAATTCATGTCAGTCTGACTTTTTAATTTCACCATGTGATTCTCCCATCATACTCATGCCTGATACAATACTTGTGGAAGGTCACCTTCATGGGGCTATCACTTCTCTAGTGCTATCCAGCCTCCAGAGGCAAAAGCCTGCAGCCCAGTAAGGCTGTAATCCACAAATGGCCTCATGGCCAGTTGGAATGCCAATTATTATGGTCAGTCGCATAATTAGTGTGCAATTAAGAAGTGACAATTAAGGTGCATACAGTACTCAGTTTTGGGGACTGAGTGTCTATTTTCATTACCACTGTAGTAAATAGTAAAAAAAAAAAAAGGCAGCAGGTAGGATGGAGTGTGAGAGGTGGAAGGAGGAAAACTAAGGGAAAATGGATTTGTTTATGGCTAAAATGCCCTGCAGAGGCAGTTTTGCCTGAGTGGCATTTTTAACATTTACCCTTATTTTCATTATAATCATGTTTGTAACATTCTTTTACAATATTATGGTACTATGTGTTTGAAGAATTTTAGAACATTAATGTTCAATGGCACTTAAGTCTTCCACCAGAAAAGTACCAGGGCTCTGCTTGGACATTCTCAGTGTCAAAGAATTCACTATGTATAAGAAAATAAAGTCTTACCTTTATATCGACCAAGACACTGTATTCCTACAGCTAACTTGAAATTATTCTATAAGCACGTCCGAAAGAACTGTGTGGCAACATACATTCCTAGACCAGTTCTACGGACACTTAGAAAAGTCTTTAAGTTCTGTCAGCATTTCTGTGTGAGAGACATGGCCACACATGCTGTCACAGAGCTAATGCACTTGGGTCACTAAACATATACACACAATGTTGGTGCTTTTCCATAATGTTTCAGTTTTCAAAAGCTAAAACGAATAAGCATTTCATAAAAAATTATTTAAGCTTTTTAAAAAATTATCACTTAATTAACATGGAGACCAATTATGTTAGAATAATTTAAGTTCTTACTTATCCCACACCTGAGACATGAGTAAGATACTCCTACAAGGGTCTCCAGTGAGGGTAACCCGATTTCAATGTCACTGCTTATCCCCCCAGGCCCAGTGCCTCACAAGAGAACCATTCTCCAACTTACCTGTGCTTAAGAGTCACTTGGAATGCTGTTTAAAGGGCCCTCGTAACTAGTTAAAGGGCTACAAAATCCCGTAATTATAGTATTTACCCAATGATACATATTCAGACTTCTCTTACACAAATCTTAACTGAATTATCTCTGTAGAAACATCAACTATTACCACTAACTTAACACAAGTTGTTCTGGGAGCTTAGAAATCAACTGTCTTTAACTCCAAATTCTATAGATCTATTTAATCTACAGTTACACCTCTACTTAGTGGCAGGGTAGAGCTGGAGCCAGATCCTTTGACTCTTTCCAGAATAGTAGTTTCTTTAGTAGGACTATTACAGCCATTTTTAGGTGTAGCTATCCGGTAATTGACACCATCCATCAGTATTAAGCAAAAAATCTTCAAAGAAAGTTTCAAATGGCCTTTACTCTAAGCCTTAATTGTAGGGAAGGAAACAGTATTTCATACGGGTAATAGATTAAATAGAGATTGAAAGACTGACTATTAGTGAGACACCCTGGTAGATATTCTGGAATACATGAAGATGAGTAACACACAGTTCTTGCCATACTGGAGTTGACAACTTACATGTTGCTAATCACTTTGGCCAGGAAAAACGGGACATTTCACTGAATGAGCAACAGTAGTATAGTAAGTCATCAGATTCTACAACACCTTGAAGTGCTTCATAATTAGCTCTACCTAAAATTGAAACTCCATTACTGTTAACTGGCACAGTAAAACAGCACATGGGAAAAAATATCTCAGTGTGCTAAATCAATATACTTATAATTGATATTGTTTAGAGGTTGTGGTTGTTTGATATGAATAAAAGGAAATAACTTATAGCTGCTATTGTTATGATAAACCAAAATTACCTAAAGACTCCTATCATTTTCTAGCTAGGTCCTGTGCACATTTATTCATTTATAACATACAGGAGAGATTTCAATACTTGTGGCCTCACCATTCATTTCTTCAAGTTCGCTGTTAATTCCAACATCTATGGAACTCATTATTTTGTCAATCTGCAAGAAACAAAAAGCATATAAGTGATGATTACATTCATCTTTAGCATTGCATTTTAAAATAACTTTCAAATGCTACAAGCATATACAGGGTGGGGCAAAAGTAGGTTTACAGTGGTGAGTACAGAGTTTATTCTTGTATTATTAATTATTGTATTACTTCCCATATGCACAACTATAATCCCACTTTTGCTCCACCGTGTATTCTTGATGTTATCACTACTGCAATACCACAATTAAGAGACTGACAAAGGTTTAAAGGGGGACAGACATCTCGTGAATTGCTTTTAAAAACATAAATTATGTTTCCCTTTCTTAAGCTTTGAAAATCAACTTCTCTTTGTATTTCCTAAAATGAACTTTGTTTGGAACTACCTGGGTCAGGACATTAGGAATTGTGCATTCTTTAGAATCAGAGGGCGGGGCAAGTGTCTCCTCTGACTGCTGACGGGGTGGGTTTCAGTTCGTAGGCATGGCCATTGGAACCAAGTTCTCACTAAATGGTCTGACCAGCCAAAGCTGACTTGTGGCATCTAATCACAAGAATTGAGGCATGGAAACAACTTCATTCTAAGAGGTAAGTTAAATGTTAATTAATCCTGCCTCGTTCCAAAAAGAATTTCAGATGTTACTCACAGCGTTAATAAATATAAGTAATGAGTAGACTCGAACAAACTATCTATCTAGTAGTATGAAATATATAGGAAGAAATGGCTTTGTAAAAAGCTTTAGCCCTCTATGGCTGAATCCTCCTCCTTGTCATCTTAGCATCCCCGGTAAGACAGCAGGTTTCAGAAGGGACAAGAAGCATTACTTCAATGTCTCATTTTGTTCACCCTGAAACAGATGCAGGGAGATTGAGTGATTTTTCCCAAACAGCTCAATTCAGAATGTCAATATCAGAACCATTCCAATTTCTAGTTCTCAGAATATTATAGTGACCTACGGTGTTTCAAAGCCCAATCCAACTGGCACAGTCTTTTGAGAGACAAAATGTGACATGTTTGAATAAAATGTCAAAGGAGAGTGTGGTCCAATCTTTGAAGAATTTCAAGAAAAAAGCAAGAAATGTTTTTATTTCATGATGCAGTCCTCTTTAGGGACAAAGGATGATATTTCATAATCCTACAAGGGCCCTTGCATTCTGAGTAATTCTATGAAATTAAATACTCTGTCTTTAGGTAGAGCTTAAATTGCTGATACATGACCTCAACACATTTTTTCTTAAAAGTCACTCTGATAATTGTAAAAGAGAAATATTAAGTAATTTTTAAGATTATATGGAGATTCTCTGAATATCTAAGATTCTTTAAAGAAGGGAGACAAGCTAACAAAGAGTTCAGTAAGTAAGCAAAATGATATAGGGCAGCAAAAACACGGAGATTTTTCTCAATTTGTCAGCTGCAGTGCTTGGGAAGACATAATGTGAACATTCTCTTGCACCTCATAGCTAGTTATTACTTCTGCTTGATATCAATTTCTATGGAAACAATAGATTTCCCCACATGTGTGAAACTCTATTTGTTTTTAAATTATCATGTGCTGCCCCTAGAATTTTCCCTTCCACTCAGAGCTGTATGCATTGTTAATTTTTTTTCTATTTGCCTCTGAAAGACTTAAAGCTGAAAATCCTCCCCCCCCCCCAACCTTCCTCGATTCCAAAGCATTCATATAAAGAAGAACAAGGCTTACTTCTTCCCATTCTGAGGTGAAGGATGGCGTTCTTTCAGAATTCCCTTTCGAGCTGTGTTCAGTAGTGGAAGATTCACTCCAGTTAACTCTCGATGGTTTCTCAGTTGAAGGGTAGGCAATGAGATCAGAATCTGACTTAGACACATTTTTTGATAAATGCATGTCAATCAGGGCTTTTGGCAATGACCTGATTCTCCCCAGGGTGCAGGCTCTCTCCACAAATCCCCCCGTGTTCACAATCCATTGGTCCCCATTCCGGGATCCACTCCTAGTTGTTCTTGTACCAACAATGGTATGGTTTTCGACTTGGTTGGGTTTTTTGTGAAAAATTGTTCTACTGACCACCTTGGGTTTAATTTTCTTTACCAAAGGTTCTGAGTTATTTTCTATTGGAGACTGCTTGAAAGACAGAGGATTCTTGGCCAAAATGATTTCATCTTGTCCTTCTTCACGTTCATCTCTTTTCCTGTAGAGATGAAATGGGTTTTCAGGAGACTCACAGGCTGGAGAGGATCCATGGAGAAGGCCTGCAAATTGCCCAGGATCATATTCCTTTGGGGGATCACTGTCCTCCTGTTGAGAGAGGTCATCTGCAAAAGAAAATAAAGAGGTCAGGATATCTATAATAATAAAAGTGTAATATGCTAATTAGACCAGACGACCTTCTGGACGAAGCCAGGGCTGCGAGGAAAGCCTGGGTCCTGGGTCCCTGCCTGTGGCTGGGGGGAAGACCGGGTCCGAGGTGCCAGAGGGAAGCCGGTGCTGGCAGCTGGGGAAAGGAAGGCCTATATTGCACGAATTTCATGCATCGGGCCAATAGCATATTTATAAAAGAACCTGAAAGCCCTGATACAACAGCAGTGCCCTTTTGAACTTGTGCTATATCCAGGCATTTGATTTATTGCTACACAATGATATTCCCATTTTATGAAACACCCTTGTCTCTATTGTACTGCCTATAAAATAAATGTGCGCCTGTGTGTGTGTGTGTGTGTGTGTGTGTGTGTGTGTGTTTGTTTCTGTGCACCAAATCTTCCTGATATACCTTAGGGAGTATTTCAAAAGTATGAATTGGGTATTAACTGAGTAATTGCATATCCTCTCCCTTATCCCCAGGGTGTATGTTTTATATTAAATAACAAAATTGGGTTTTCTTAACATGAGACACCCACATCCTAACCCAGCAATAAATGAGTCACTGTTCAGGTGGACATCAGGCATGTAAATCAAGGTCATGCACCATGACATCCCTCTGCCCTTCTCTCAGCAAATAAATCCAGAAACAAAACTTGAAAAGAAGTATTATTAAACATAATTTAAAGTAAATAACCCTGATATTGTTACTTTAAGTATAAAATTAAGAATGATTCTATACAAATTATATAATTTAGACAAAAAGGACTTGTACAAGCTTAACATAGGCCAACAATGTGATCTCTATCACTAAAAAGGGAGAGACTCTTTTACAAGAAACTGATATTGAGCTGTTAATACAAAACTCTCTTTTCCTTTCTTCTCTGAAATAACATTAGTTACCTTTGAATTTCTTCAGGTCTTTGAAAAATGTAATGCATTCAAGAAACCAAAGAAAAATGCTAATTTTTATCACTTTATATTTTTTCTAAGATAAATCATAAATGTTCTCTGAAATTTAAAATATACCATACTTTTTTTATTACCTAATTTGTGTTTTAAAGATACGGTGTCAAAATCTTGGCCAAATAATTTAACAAAGAAAGTCAGTTTACTTTTTTGACAGTTCATTTTAATTCATTTAGCTAAATATTTGCTACAAAATTACCCAATAAGCCCATAACCCAGTCTTGTGAATAAAACACTGTATAGCCAATGTGGTAGATAATAACCACAAATCCAAAGCTCACATGCTGACTCACATTCCAAAGAAGTTAGTTATTATTACAAACCCCAAACACCTACATTTTTAGAAATTAACAAGTAACATTGTGAGTAGGTATATCTATTTACTAAGTACTTAATGAGGGATTATAGTGACATCATCTCATTTAAACTCAAATTAATCCTGTGAAATGATTAATAAACATCATGACTTTCTGATAGAAAGAGATATGGCCAGAATACTGAATTCACATATTTACACAAATCAGCAACCACAATAGACATTTACCTAGAGGATGCTACGTAGAGACAAATTGATTTTCTTCATTGAAGTTTGGTCCCAGGTCCCTATACTGTTCTCTCCCTCGGAATTGACAGAAGCATGTCCCCTGACCTCACCCTTGTTCCTATTTGACTTCTCCAAACAGAAGATGTCCCCTTTCCCAGACCTATCACAACGGTATCCTGAGATGGAAGAGAAGAAGAGTGACAGGAAGAGGGGTCCAAGAGATCACAATCTAAAAGAGAAACAATTTGCACCCATCCAGTACTGTTATAATTACTTCATCGTCCCACAAAAACTCTGTTCCTATCGAGTGTAGCAACACTATGTCCTCGTCAAAAAACCCATTTTGTCCTCCCCTCGGGACTCTTCTTAAAGTAGAATAGTGTGTGTGTGTGTGGGGGGGGGGGGCACGGGGGGGGGGGGGCGGGGGGGGGGGGGCACGGGGGAGGTGAGGCAAGGCAGCTCTGAACTCTCTAAAAGGGCAGTGTTTATATAAGGCCTATTCTATACATGTTCTAGAAGTCGAAATGAACACTTAAGCAACTTAAATTGCAGCAGTTTCCCCAGCCAGTATGTTAAGCTAAGATTCAAACTAAGGTCTATTGGATTCCCACACCAAATTGTCCTGGAACATATTTCACTGTTAAGATAAAAGAAAAATCTAAGGTTCAAGGACAAGCAAGTAGACTGTGAGGAAGGATATGGTTACTCCTGTTTATGACTGTTTCAGGAATTTGGGATAAATGGACTGAAAGGTATTTTTCCTGCTTCATGGAAGTAACTGATGCTCGGAGGAAATACAACTTGGCATTCTGTTCCAATTTATTTTCTCTCTTTCTTCCTTGGCTACTTGGCTCCCCGTAGTGCTTTACAACGTACGCAGGTTGGTGTGGGATGACAATAATGGGTGAATAATTGTAAAGGGGAGGAGGAATTTGAAAAGGAAGTTCAGAATGTTACTTTGAAAGTTGCTGAAGAAGGCCCAATAGTTTGCGTTTGAACAGAAACCTGAAAAGAATCAGCCTGCTGCAAGAAAAAGATTCTGTAAATCTCAGTCAAAAGGTCTGTGACCATGTTCATGACAAAGAGAGTGTTAGGGGCACAATACTCAAGTTTTCTGTGGTTATTATTATTAGGTAACAATCCCCTCTGCGTTTTGACAAAAATGACTCTAATCACCACCCCAAAATGCTTTATATTGTCCAAGTCCCAGCAGTCACTTCCCCAAGTAAAAGAGAATTTAGTCAGCTTATAAGATTAGGCTTTTGAATCGCACTTCTTAGCATCATGACAGTTGGTAACATTTTTACAAATATTATCTGTTTCTTTCAGTGGCCAAACTCTAAGGATGACTGTCAAAGACAAAGAGAAGTTGATCTGAAACCTCCTGGAACACCTGTTTGGTGGACTGATGACAGCTATGACCCCGCTCTGCCCTGGCTCCCTGCAGCCATTCCTCCCACATGGCTCTGGGTGTGGCCAGGCACCTTGCTTTGGTCAGTGAGACAACAGCAAATGTGACAGGAACGTTCAGAGAGCCTTGAAAAGCACTTGTATGGTAGGCCTTGTTCTCTTGTTGCTCTTGGAACCTTGCAGCATGTGAGCAAGGCCAGGCTGGCCTGCTGGATGAGGAAATGATCCATGACCCAGCTGTCTGAAGTTGTAGGTGTTATTATTTTTCAAGTATTAAGAGGCTTACAGACTAGGAGTTGCCACTTGGAAAAGACAAGATTGTTATACTCAGATCCGAAGAGGAGGGAGCATGCCATGCCACCAGGGGGCGCACAGGGAGGCACAGGATTGGGCAGGAGGCAGAATGGGTGAAAGAAAAGGTGGGAAGAACCTTTATTGTGGTGCCTTTGGGAAACCATAAGCAGTTCTAGGGTTGGCTATTTTGACCCTAGGGCATAGGCACTGTCACTAGTGGTCTGGTGTGTGGTGTTGGTGTGATTAGGGCAGGTGGATGGTGGCTCCCTGTGAGAACCTGAGAAAGGGTGCTGTTGGGATATGGCTCTGGATTGGCTGGTTTGCATATGAAAGGCATGTATGTAGGTGAGTTTTCTATCCCTGAGAATTTGCTAGCCCTGGGAGGGGCCACCCCTCCAGAGTCAACAAGGTCCCAAGATGTTAAAGCATCAAACAAAACAAAACAAATAAAAAGGCACCTTGCTGGAACCGGTTTGGCTCAGTGGATAGAGCATCGGCCTGCGGACTGAAAGGTCCCGGGTTCGATTCCGGTCAAGGGCATGTACCTGGGTTGCGGGCACATCCCCAGTAGGAGATGTGCAGGAGGCAGCTGATCGATGTTTCTCTCTCATCGATGTTTCTAACTCTCTATCTCTCTCCCTTCCTCTCTGTAAAAAATCAATAAAATATATTTAAAAAAAAAAAAAAGGCACCTTAATATCCCAGCCACCCACCCTTACTTCGGTCCATAGTCAGCAAAATTCCAGTTGGGTCTAGGTAGTTTCGCCATAAACATTTTTGCCACAAGTATGTTTGCTGCAAACATTTTTGTTGCAAACATTGGCCATAAGGCCATTTTGCCATAAAAGTTAAAATAACTGGCTGACAGTTTGGTTTACATTTGGCAAACTTCATGTTTTTTGTCAGTTTGGTTTCATTCTCCATTGATGAAGTCCTCTCAGTACTCCCATTTGTATAGTATATAAATTTTAGCCCTCATAATGGTCTATACTGTGATGAGTAGACATGGTAGTCTTAAAATACTGGATGACAATAACTACGTATAAAGCCAGATTGCAAAGCTATGTGTAAAGTTAGATAACATACCGTAGTAGAAAATGATAATATATCAGTTTTTGTAAATCCTTTGGTGAGCTCAGTCATCCCTCACACCTGTCAAAAGCTACATATGACAAATATAAAACAGGCAGCTAATTCACAAGTCTTCCAGAGCTTTAATTACCAATTCTTTAATTGGAAACTGATACCACTTTTAAATTTTTTTTTAATTTATTGACTTTGAGAGAGAGGGAGGGGAGGAGGAGAGAGAGAAACATCAATTGTGTTCCACTTATTTATGCATTCATGGGTTGATTCTCGTATGTGCCCTGACCAGGAATCAAACCTGCAACCTTGGCATATTGGGACAACTCTCTAACCAACTGAGCTACCTGGCCAAGGCTGATACATCTTTTAATAAAGAAAAAAAGTGCAGAGCCAAAAGAGAAGACAAATCCATAATCAAAAAGAAAAAGAAAGAAAAATGTGTAATATAATGAACAAAAACTTTCAAAGACAATGTATTTTCATTTTTCTCAGCAGAGTTTTAAATTTTGTTATTAATTTTTTTAATATATATTTTATTGATTTTTTACAGAGAGGAAGGGAGAGGGATAGAGAGTTAGAAACATCGATGAGAGAGAAGCATCGATCAGCTGCCTCCTGCACACTCCCTACTGGGGATGTGCCTGCAACCAAGGT